TGTTACCAAAACACCATGATTAAAAAAATTGATTCGGATCTGTGTATAAGATGATCAATTAAAATGACATTTATAACAGAAAGCTAATAGTTTGGACCTCTACGCAAAAAAAAGGGGGGGGGGGGTTAAACGTAGAATAGTAGAAGTGATTTGATGAAATATTTGCTACTACGCAGTGGTCCCCTGGTAAATTTAGAGACAACGCTAACATTCAGAGTTCGATTCCATACAGTGGACGGAGTGCGATAGTCCGTTGTGTGGTATAAAGGAATAACGCACTGTGCGGTGGATAAAGCTTGATAAAATCCAAATCATTTTTGAAAATAGTTAATATTGTAGGCCACATCTAACCAGACGATTGGCTTTTTTTTTTCTCTTTGAAAAACTTTGTAAATTGGTAGATGATGTCATTCAAAACCGAGATGTACCTAAAACTAGCATAAAGTAGAAATGTGTGTATGTATTAAGTACCCTCTAAATAAAGGTCAGTCATGGGAACCATGACAACGCATTTTCAATTGTAATAAGCTTCTTGGACCACAGAACCTGCACTGTACCAAGGCTGCCTCTAGCTACTAAAAGGAGGTCAGCTTTTAAGACTGTATTTAAGCATACCAAAGAAACAAAAATTTATTGGAGCTGCAGAGAGGAACGTGAAAAATATGTGGTTAAAGGGGTTTGCTGTAATTCCAGTTTCTTTGGTGCCATCTGTTTCGCGAAAACAACTTCACCAGTTTCAAATTTTTGTTTATTATATTGTTAAAGGTAGGGGAAGATATGCTCGTTTCACCACAATGGCTTTTGGGGCTAGAGGGTTCTCTTTCATAACCATAGTCTTCACTTTACTAATGAGCACATTGCAACGACTTTTAAGCGAGTGTAAATTGGGATGGTGTTGCTACTTCCGAAACGCTTAAGGTCTCCTTTTCCGAAATGATTTGTCCTTCGACTATAGGTCGTTTAACAGAACATTATGTGAATACGTATTCGTTGAGTGCGGGAGATATAGAAGAGACTAAAGCACGTTTTGAAGTAGCTTTAATCCACACAAGTCCACCTTTTCATATCTACGCAAAAACTGTGGCAATGATGTTCAAATATAAATGTGAGTGAACTGTTCCCTTTTGGATTTAATGTTGATAATACACAAGTATATTTTTTTCCAATTCTTTTCTCTCCCTCTCTCTTTCATGTGAAAGAGGCACGAATCCTAGAATTCAACAGATCTGATTTTTAGAGGTGTAGAAACCCTTACTTTTAAAGAATCTTCGTGTTTTTGAACTAGGCCTAACCGTAGATAATATAGGCTGGTATGTTTATTTTCATGGCTTCACGTAGGACTTGAAGACTACTTCAATAAACTGAATAAAATCACGCATTTAACTTTTCTGTTGTTAGTTATTTTGGGAAGTCTTTGTAGGATACACCTATTAATTACTGATTTTCTTCTTTTAGTCATAGACATTCTGAAGTTCCTTGACAGAATCCTGACCTTGGCCCAGTTTTTAATCATCTTGCTCGTCTTTTTTACAGGTTGTTTAAGTAGAAATATCTATTATGAGTGTCCAAATTTTTTTTATATAATTTTCTACTTATCTTTTCAACCATAGGTGGAGCTGCAAATGACGTAATCACTTTTTTCCCCCCTTTTGTATGGGTGTTACCAGAATATCTTGAAATTTCTAGTACTTGTTCGAGTTGACCTGTTGTATTCTAGCGTCCTTGTAATCTTTGTTGACGGTTGTTTGTTCGTTAAATTTTGCACAAAACTACTCGAGAGTAATCTTCACTAGTCGTCCCTAATATTAGCAGTAATAGACTAAAGAAAGGCAACTAGTCAACACCGCCAACTCTTTGGCTACTATTTTTACCAAACGATAATTTAAAAGTAAAACCTAAAAGTTCATTTTCATTTAACGTGAGAAATAAATAAACAAACAAAATAAAAAAATTCTAATAACAGGTTTACACCATGTTGACGTCTAGCCGGTTTCTGTTTTATTTTTTAAGCTAGATGACGCTGTCAGGCTTAATGAACAACAAGAAAACATAAAGCTAGAAATAAAAAGGGTCGGAAGTTAGTCCTAACTTTAAAAAAATGCATACAGGATGTCAACGTAAACGCAAATTTTATTTACAAATTTGCTTGAATAAGTCGGATCCTGTTCTGTAATGTCTTCCTGATTAGTAATCACGTGATTTTTCTTAAGTAAGAATGCCACGTGCTTATAAGTACAACAAACATTTCTACACTTTGATACCAATGACCTGATAAAACCAGTCCTTCCTGTGGCAGGTTAATGGAAGTCTGTGTCACGTTCAATAGATTTAGCGCATTAAATAATTTACCATGTTATCAGCAACACGTTGAAAAAATGGCGCGAAAACTTTTTTTGTTAGGCCTAACCCCGTCATTTTCTGACGTCA